AAAGTACACGTTCTCAGCAGAAAGGGAGTTCAATCGAAGGACAACCAATTGCAACGATGCTTGTGTTTCACCATGTCTGAGAGGGCAGATCGTCAAGTAAAATAGAAGAAAAAACTGATTGAACGACTTACAAGAATGCTGGGTTGTGAACAAAACTTTCGCCCCAGGCGGGACTAGAACCCGCACCTCTCGCTTTCCGGGCAAGTGCGCTACCAGTTACGCTACCGGGGCACCATTTCATTCCAACTCATGGTATACGTACCATAGCTTTCAGCACTCACACGTATAACGTGTTGAGCCGGTTAGCCGATATCGGCAATGACCGCGAGGCTAAAGTTTTAGCACTTGATTTTGACTTATTAGATCCATTCAATCAGTGTTGACTTGTTCAAAACAAGCCTAAATTGATTGAATGGATCTACACTGTTGGCTAGGATCCTACTCCATATACCTATTACAATCATCTCCTGAAGAAAATTTCTTTGAAATAAATAAGGTCATTCGAAAAAAATGCAATTTTCTTCTCTTGAATCAAAGAAATTCAAAATTCCAAATGAAATATTCGATATGATTTCATAACCATTCTGAAAGAAATCATCTACTTTATGAGAATTCGTGTTTCCCTTTTGTGTATTTTGTGGAATGGTTCCAAGCTTTCGTAACGGAAGGTCCATTTCACTACGAAAACTGCCATAAAAACCTGCAACTACTTTAAACTTTACGCTCATCAGGAAAAAATCGAATGTCAAGCACCATGCGCCCAGACGTGACATTTTCTTAACATTCCACTAATGTACCGTTGTATTCCGACCGTTGTATTGTTCTTTTTCTCTAATTAGGTTATTCCGCAAAAACTCGACGACTGACGACCATCTCGCCGAATCTCATCTTAGCACTTTGGAGACCGCGCGTGTTTTACGTTCCGTGGCCGCGCGGGACTTCGGTGAAATTTTTAGGGATCTTATCTAGCAAATTCAAGAAGAACCCACTGTATAATGCAGAAGAAATCTTATCGGATAAAATGGAAAAGAAAATGAATGAAAACCTAATAATTGTTTACGAAATGCGAGCTGAAAGGTCCTATGCGGTCGGAGGACTGCAGCCCACATATGGGCTGCGTGGGCTCCAAGGTGTAAATATTTCTACCTAACGAGGTCTGGAAAGACGGGCAACGCAGTGAAAAGTCATTAAAGGAATCTTGCGCGGAAAAATCATGATTCTATTTCAGCCATAAATCACTGGCTTGAGACTCATTATCCACGATAATAGTGAAAAGAACTGAAGTATTGCTTTCGTTTTGATTAGAAATTCGAAAACTCGAAAAGGCTGCTACGCGTTCGAATTGCCCACGGACGTCTTTCACGAATGCTGGCGACGGGGATGCTCAAACTTGGTTCTTGGAGTGCATTCACTAGAAGCTCTTTCTGGCCTTCTGCTTCGTTGCATTCACATCTTACACTTCTACTCCATCCTATTCCATCGATCGATTTGTCTCCACTCTCCGAAATCGCGCGCTTTAACCCGATTCTCTCATTGCGTCGCCTGGTACGTCTTCTTTCCATGCCTCGCCTGGCTCTGCCTCCTGGTCCTTCGATGGTCCATAACGTGTAGTTTTTGTACGTTTGTTTCTCTTCAGAAACCGAATCTTCATGCGTGAAACTTTGTGTGCTATTTCCAGTGATCACAACTGACATATTCATGTTAGGAAAGAGTGCAAGAATTTTCCGCGCAAGATTCCTTTAATTTTGAGAAAGTCGATTGACTAACCTAGTACTGCGGTTACACGAATGCCCCACTTCCAGTCGCCAGTGAGCGCAGACAGGTAAGAACCGATAATGAAGCCCAGGCCACTAAAGAAAGATAATTTTATCTTGTAACTGCTAACAAAGCTTCCTCGAGACACTTTACACCAGCGACATGGAGTCACGCTCCGAAAAGCAAATCAGTAAAACGTGCTCATCTACTGCGGTGATAGGAAAGGACCGCGGAGAATTGCGTGAGGTCATTATTTTTGCAGAATATTGAGTTTACTGCGAAAAAGGTAAGGATTGATGCCTAGTAACAGATACATCGCCCATGTCAAATTAAAGCCTGGCGAAGTGCGAAACCACGGACTCAGGCTTACGCTAATGGCCAGCCTTGCAAAAACGTCTCGCGAAATCAAAGCAATTCTTGTAACTACAAACTTCTTCATTTCTTCCCTGTGCAAGGTTCCCTCCACTGGTTATGGAATGCACCTTCAAAGACAGTGGGAATGGTACAGGATTACGTCGCTCCCTTGTGTTATGTCTTCAATCGAATGCATAATGCGACTCTCCACCTCTTTTGAGAGTCTGCGAAACGACCCCCCTCCCAACACATACGTATACTGCACATTGCAACCAAAGCTACATGACGAAAATAAGTGCCAATCTATAAAAAAATCACCAGAACTCTATCGTGAATTCTCTCATAGTTGTCTATTCTATAGCAATGACTCCAAAGTCATGATAAGCATCGAAATCGCAATGAACCTCATTAGTGCTAAAATAGAACGAAAGCAGGCGCATCTAACACGAGACTACTGCCAGAAAGTGCGAATATTAGCATCAGGAGCGTTGGGTTCGCATAGGTGCGCGCAATCTTCCCCTCGGCCCAGCGCGGCCCAGAGAGAGGCAGACTACTAATTTTCAAACGTGTGTAATTCCCTTCACTATCATATTTTTTAGAATCCTGAGTCGATTTGTAATCTGCGAGGCTGCCGGTTCCAGAAAACTGTCAGGATTGTGCAGTAGCTTCGAAAACTACGTCAGTTGTGGGGTAGAGAATTGAATTCACAGAAATGCACACTTCTTCCCTTAAAAGGTTGTAACTCTCTTCAAATAAGAAAGTGTGAGAAGCGGTAAGAAAATTTGAAACTCAGATTGTTTTCTTTCTAAAAAGTACTCAAACTTTTGTAAAGTTTCATTTCTTCAGAAAATCACCCCGTTTGACCGTTTTTTTGTGCACAACCACGTTTTTGGCTGAAATTCTCATCCCCTTGGAAAAAACTAAGAGGTTAAAGCTTTCAAATGAATTCTTGAACTCAACCCCGAATTTCAAAATTGATGGAGTCAAAAAATGCCCCGTTGGACCGTTTTGGGGAAATCGCGGACCGATTTTTGCAGAGCGCTGGTTTTTTGGCTTTGAACTGTTATAACTTTCTTCAGATTCAACTTTTTGCAATTCTCCCCTGGAAGAAACTAGAAGGTTAGAGCTTTCTAATGAATACTTGATCTCGTTTCCAAAATGACCCGTTCAAAAAATCGTCCCGTTGGACCGTTTTTTTTCATGAATTTTCGGAGCTACTCTCCTGAAAACACGAGTTTTCAACACTCAAACACTCACAGCTCTCTTCAAACTCAATTTTCGGGGAATAATGATACCATGACATCGCACAAGCTTTGTGCTTCATAACAGATGCTAAATTCTCCAGGAAGCTGTGAGCCTGAGCCGAGAGCCTCATTCGGACCTGTATAAGATCTCCTCATTCTACGCATTGCGACGTTGACTTCCGCGAATACATCCCCAGTTCTGCGAATACATCCCCACGTTGGACTTGGTTCAACGGACGGTTGACCCTGGTACGATATAGTGGGTACGCACTATGGAAGTACGTGGGTCATTAGAAGCGGTAACAAGAGAACTGGTGTGTATTTTGGTGCGCGAAAGGTTGCGCTAGCTGCAGCGCAGTCAAGCACCAAATTTAAAAACCGCATAGGCAAAATTGCCGCATCCATGAGAGGGCATCGCGAAACCGCTATGGTTATCGTTCACTTCAAACGTGAAAGTGCATTAGTAACGAAACGGAGTACTTTGTAGTCTTGTCGTGCTGTGTAATCCGTCTGATATCCCTACCCAAGCAGCTATTCATAAGTCAAAGCTGGTGTGATCAACGCACCGAGTGCGGTTTTCATCTCCCGAGTTTGTTTGAATTTTTTGCCTCTTTCACTACCATATAGCGCCCTCACTTCAGTTTTGAACTAAACTAGAGCTATCGTAATCAGTGTCCCTTAACGATATGAAACTCGCCTCTCACCTTCCACAAGGAATCGCAAAATAGAATAGCATCAGCATTCGACTTCTATTCTCTCCACTGGACATGTCGGCGATTACCGATGGAGAAGTGATAACGTAAGAAGCTTCTCCGACGCCAACTATTCCTCTGAGCAACAAAAACAGCCAGAACATCTTAAGCAGAAGTACCACTCATTGCACAGACGAGACAGAGAACAATGAAT